CACAATAACCCAATATTTTTCTGTTACAATACTGCTAATGTCATTAAGAACCAATCTACAAAGCAATTTCGAAAGAAAAAAAAAATTTTGAGGAAACCCTAATTTTCAAACTTTATTTTTCTCTTGGAAAACGATATACATTTAGGTTCAAAAACACTCTCTCACCTTTCCCTAAACTTTTCTCAAAGAAATATTAAACAAAACTCAAGTTTTCCCCAAAACCCTAACTTCCCTTCCTTAGAAAAACTCATGAAAAAGGAGGGGAAACACTTGCAAAACACATACCTTAGCCTTCTCTTGGATTTCCCTACGATCCCCTCCACGAACGGCCACCGAAAACCGCCCCTGAGCTCACTGGAGACGCCTCCTACCCACGCCCCTTTCTTCCTCTCCCGTTTGGTTCGGCCGAAATGGGGGAAATGGGGACCGAATGGTTTCGTCCCCTAATTAGAATGGGGCTCTTCTAATAAAAGCCTAATTACTTCTATGCCCTTACTACTATGTTGCACCGATACGGATACGGCGACACGGATACGACACGATACAGATACGGGACACGCTAATTCTTAAAAATACAGGATACGGATACGGCGCGGACACGACATCATAATTTATAAATCATACATAAAAATTAAGAAATCAATCAAATAATATTTGAAATTACAAAAAAAAATGACAACAACATTATTTGTAGCCTTGTAGCTTATAATATCAAAATATAAAAAATATAAGTAAGCATTAAATGTCTAGTACAACAACAAAAGCATAAACATAAATTGTCTAGCACATAAAGTTTCAACTATTCAATATAAGGAATAATATGATTAGCTTCTTCAGTGGTTTGTCTTTGAACTTCTATATCATCTTCAATAAATATCATAGCTTTTAATTCAGGCTCATCAAGTGAAAGATTAGTAATTTCTAATATTCTCATATCATAAAGAGACTCAAATCCATCTCGGAAATGAGAGAACTTTGCTCGCAACCGCGGAAGTAAATACGACACATCTTTTTTTTCTGGATTTCTTTTTGTTTTTCAATGGACACGTGTATCGGATACGCGTATCCTTTTGAAATTAAATAGTATTTTAATTGGATACGTCTTTGGTGTATCCGACACGTATCGGTGGAGTATCAGAGGTGTATCGGTGTATCGGATACAGCACGCCTTCATAAATAGGTGTATCGGTGCAACATAGCTTAAACATCTCCCCTATTCAAGAGATACCAAGGGCAAAATCATCAATAAGGGTTTTCTAGAAATTTTAATTCCCAAAATGCTCAAAATTCGCTATGGGTTCTATACCTCAAAACGATCAGAATTTTGCGCTCTATTTATAAAATTATTTTCATCGAAATCCGACGACTTCAAAATTTTTCACTTAAAATTAGTCGCGGCACTTTGAAAGCGTGTGAAATCCTAAAACGGCATTTAGCGGGTTTTACAGTTTTCTTGTCATCTTCTCTTTCTCGTCATTGTTGTTCAACTTTGCTCCACTCCACGGACGTCGTTCCCTTCCGATCACATCGAAAGTTACAACATTTTGATCAGAAGCAACGACAGAAACTCGCTTGCTCTATTTATCTTGTCTTTCTCGTCGTTGTTGTTCGACTTTGCTTCACAGACGACGTTTTCTTCCCATCAGATCAGAAGTTGCAACATTTTGATCGGAAGCAACGAAGTTTCTCGCTGTGAAGCATGGACAAATCCCGTAAATACGCTGAACAACAAGATCCCGGGTCAAAATCGGGTCATTTTCGAGTTTCCAGGTCAACCCGAACCTGGCCCGGAATTTGAAACGGGTCAAAAATCATGACCCGAACACAACCCGTTTTGGAGTTGGGTTGACTCGAACCCAAAATTTTTGTGTCGAGTTCAAGTTGGGTTTTCGGGTTGTGTCAAATATTGACACCCTTAGATATAGAATGCATGGATATATGTGGGATATTATATTGTATTCCCTTTGCTTGCTTGTTTTATTTTTGCATACCTTTCACTAAGATTTGAATTAATTAACTAATGAATATCATTGTGGGTCTCCAAAAGGATACTGCTTGTGGAGTTTAGAATGCAAAGATTCATATCACACTATTCAGTAGGACAAAATGGTAGTATATCTTTACATTCTACGCAAGCAGACCAATGGAAGAGCATGTAGAATTATACATACAATTATTCATGAAAAATAGTAGCTTTCGCCTACACATCTCGATGGATAATATGTATAACTCGACAGTCACAAGATTTCTCCCATTCGATATATTTGCTCGAGTGTGGTTTATTTGATGTGGGTGTTGATTTTTCATAGGCGCAAGCCCTAGTGGTTAATTACATCTCAGGCCTTACCTAAAAATATTCTCGATTAATATTGCTATTTTATTCTCTTATTGGTTTGGTGCATAGTGCGAGTTCCTAAATTATTCCAATCCAATGGGAATAAATTCTTTTATTTATCTTTAGTGAATATTAGATTTGTTTTTTATATGTATGAATATTTGATTAAAAAAAAAGAGTTTAGAAGATCAAATATTGATTTAACATTTAAAAAGAGACTACAAATCTAGAATTCATTTAGTATTTAGAGAAGACACACTGGGGGAAGTATAATTTGAGCTTATGCTTGCCTGAAGTGAACTACTAGCTAACATCCTAAACACAATCAATTATCTCATGAATGCAAAATAGGATGACTTTAATCCTAGTGAGTCAACGATTTTAATTCATAGGTTCAAATTAGGGCTATACAAAATATTCAAGTGAATCTAGCTAGCGCCATGTATGATGATGCATGAAGCAAATGCATAAATAAAATATTTTTAGTCATTCATTTGAAAACATGGATATATCTCGGCGTCTGCAAGAAATTAAGGTGATCATGCTCCACCACAAAATGCTTGAATTTCTACTCCTATGAGTTTAAGTTCAAATACATTTGCTTACTTTCTTCTGGCTCCAAGTCTTTTATAGGGTTCCAAAAGAGAACACCCTTCAAAGGAAAGAGAATTATCTTTTGGAGCCTAATTTATTTATGTAAGAAAACATTTTTGAACATTTTTACAACCCTTGAAATTGAAATATACAAATATACAATGAGCACTTTACCATTTACATTCAATCCTAGTTACATTCTACCTTGAATTTATAATTTTACAAGCATTCCCTATATATTTTATTTTGCCTTTTTTTACGATAAAGTAAAAGACAACATAAATACATATGCATGTATGAATATAGTGTATGCGTATGTAATTTAATAAACTAAAGTGCACCAACAGAAAAATAATTATGTATGCCATGACATCCAGAGTATTGAAAGTAAACAAACACACAAAATATACTCTCCAGGCAAAGGTATCCGCATCACACCAAAATACACTAATGGTCTAACTTAAGACTAGAGTTGGTGATCTTAGCAAACAAGGGTGTCAAAACAGGTCAACAAGTCGGGTTTGAGTCCAATCCGAATGACTTGAGTCAAAACGAGTTAACCCTAACCCGACTCGATTTTGCAAACGGGTTAGGAATTCCAACCCAGACCCCACTCGTGCTGGTTACTGCTTAACTCGACCCAACTCGACCCGCGAACCTAGAACACAACGGGTTTTCGCTCGTCGCACATGCAGGGTGCGGCGCGAGAGTGGTGCCAGCGGATGTAAATGGCTAGAGGCGGCGTTGAATAGTGGTGCTCCTGTTCAGGTGAAGTCGGGTTGAGCCGGGGTTGACCTGTCAAGGCATGGTGTGGGTGTAGCTCCTGCGGAGGTCGGAGGCAGGTCGACCAGGCGAGCCGCGAACGGCAAGATAGATGTGAGGTTGAGCCGGCTGGCAGCGGTCCCCGTGATGTAGGCGCGAGTGTGGGACTTAAGTTCGCGGTAGGATCCGGGATCGAGGCGTAACGCAGGGATCCGGGTCACCCCCGAGTCAACCCAAACCTGACCTGATTTTCATACGAGTAAGAAATCCGAACCTGAACCTGACCTATTTTACAAACGAGTAGACCCGAACCCGGATTTTTTCGGGTTGGGTCCGGGTCGTGTTAATTTTTGACACCCATGCTAACAAATAAGTTCTAGTTTGTGTAAAATATTGTAAGTCATAGGGACCATAGTCAGTGGGAGACGGGTGTCGTATGGGAGGGTCTGAGGGATCATAGTCGGTGGGCGACGGGGGTCAGAGGAACTGTAGTCGACCTACGACGGCGGTTGATTAGACTGTAGTTTGTTGAAGACGGGGGTTAACGGGACCGTTGTTGGTGGGTGATGTTTTTTAGCATATAACACTATTGCTTCCACTAAAAGCTTTGGGAGTTTTTCCTATGTCCATCAACATCATCAAAACACAAAGTCGATCCAATTGTCATAAAATACATCTTCGTAGGATACTCAACTAAAGACATAGGTACAAGTGTTATTATCTGAACTCTAAAAAAGTCTTCATCTCGAGGATGTTATCTTTTTGCTGAAAATCAAGCATTCTGTTACCTCATTGTCTTGAAGAACTGCTTAGGGATGAAGTCAACTCCTATGTCCTTAATCCCGATCTTCAAACCACCCGACCATGACTTCCTTATAGATAAAGGTAGCCTCTACAGACAATAACTGCAACAAAAAAGTGAAAAAATATTATGATTGAAGTAATGAGAGCTCTAAAGATGTGAGTGGTTATTAATGTAAAACCATATAAAATAAGACGAATGTGTTATATTGTGTTTTCAAATTCTGGCCTACAAAGATGTAAGCGACAGCTGAAAACAAAGTTGATTGCGGATAAAATGATTTAAAACTAGGATGAATAGAGTGCAAAAAATATTTTGCTATCTACTGTTTTGATCTTTGGCATACTTGTTTTAATCTGCCATTTCAATTTGAATTATTGATCATGTCTACTGTATGATACATCACAAACTTGTTTTGCTTTATGCAATTACATTATGTTTCTCTTTACTAGCCAACTATGAATTTATTACTCAAGTGTTTTTCACATATCTTATATAAAATTGCAGTCTGAGTCATCAGTAGAAGTATTTTTGCAGTCACTTGGCCTCGAGAAATACATAATAACGTTTAAGGTTGAGGAGGTAGGCCCTCAAGTTTTACCTTTCCGTTAAACTCATGTTCTTTAAATGCCTTGAGTTTAACAAGTTCTCGTTTATAGGTTGATATGGCAGCTCTTATGCACATGACTGAATCTGATCTTAAGGCCCTAGGAATTCCGATGGTAAGTTCTCCTTTCTTTGGTGAAATTTTTTGTGCTTCATTTGAACGTTTTTCTTTTGATTCTTAAGATTTTTTTTTTTTTTTGGGGGGGGGGGGGCTGGCCTATGCATTATTGATTCTTAAGACTCATTTTGTTGCTTGTAGATGAAAACATGTGTTCCACCTCCGTGGCCTATGCATTATTGATTCTTAAGACTCATTTTGTTGCTTGTAGATGAAAACATGTGTTTGAAAATGATAATTTTATTTGCATTCATTTTGTGTGTAAAATTAAAATTCTCACGTAGAAAATTTCAATTTATTTGTTGAGTGTTAATTTTTATTGATTTCTAGCTACATCCACTGAATAATGAATCTAAGAATATCACTAATTAAAAAAACATATTCTTACTTCTCAAGCAACTAAATGAGTCCTACATACCAAAAAAATTTAATGAGCGGAAATTTCACTTCTGCATAATAGTCATAATTAGATAAATTTGCACACTGTTGATTTACTTGGATGAATAGGCCAGAGATTTTATTTTAGACCAAAAAATCCTCGCTTTTGATTGCATACTAATTTGAATTCCATATCAAGAGAACTAGGTTGGAATAAGGTTCAAATAAGATTTGAATCATATTTGAGGAAAATTCAAACATTGTTTGAGCCCTATTTGAACAATGTGTGAACAATTGTTTTAACATATCCGAATCATATTGTCAACGACGAATGACATACCCTTGGAGTCATGGCGCATAGCACAAGGTGTATCGAGCATCATTTTGAACACGACGCAAAATAAAAAATAATTATTAAAAAAGTAGGTGTTTGATAGATATTTGCATGAAAATTTTGTTTATGGTAGGCTGATAACATTATTATTATTTTTTTTTATGCACAACAATACATTCGAGCAAGCATGTTCAAGAAAATCTAAACAAATAAAACAATCAAACCTATTTTAATACAAGAATTTCTAAGGGCATATGCTATCGATTGTCACATATCTATAAATTTTACCGATATTATGCTTTTCATTCACATCATTATAATAGAGGGTAGTGTGGAGCAATGATTCTGTTAGACTCTATTGTTACTAGAAAATCATGAATTCAAAACTTTCGCTCATTTTAATAGCTGCAAGAACCTCAAGAAGGGCATTGTAAATCGAATAATACAGGAAAATGATAAGAGGGAAAAGCAAGGAAGGAGATATGCGGGTGTATAACAAAAATAAATGAGAGAAGTTAGAGAAAAGTAGAGAGCTGTGAATACCCGTAAAGGGAGCGGAAGGAAGGATTATGCTGACACTTGAAGGGAGGCGAAATCCATGCTAAATCCTATGCGGAATTGCAGAATCGAGCATCCGTGAGGTTTGCGGCTTCAATCGGGCATGAGGGAGGCGAAATCCGTGCGGGCGTGATATTGCTGCTTCGACTGCAGGGATCTGGCCTGCAGAGGGTTCAGACGTGATGCTTTTAGATTTAGTTAATAAATAAATAACTAATAATATAAAATTTATTATTATATTATTTAGAAATTAAAATTATATAATCAAAATTTAAATTGCACGCACCGTGCACCATGCATCATGCGCCATGCACCTTTGCACAGATATGGCGCAAATGGCGCATGCTAACTTGAACCTGTGCGCCGCACCGCGTCGTGTGCCATGACGCGCACCATTCTGCGCCATTGACAAGTATGGTTTGAAAATAGTTTAAACATATGTTTTATTAAGATTTCAAGTACTCTTAGATATTCTTTCTCGCTTTATGTTAGTGCTCCATTAAAATGACAAATTTTATTATGCACAATAGAAACATTTAAAAATCATACTTATATTTGTTGAAGTCACCGATGAACAATTTTTTCTTATTGTGGTGTAGTGTGGATGCAATCTAACTCTATTGAGCGAAGAAATTTCAAATGAAAGTATAATGACAACAATAATGAAGAAAGTGAGTGTAGATAAGTGATCTATCATTCTTCCTATATAGCATGGATATAAGAATAGGAATGATATTTTTGTCTGAAATGAATTATTGGGTATATTTTCTTAAGAAAATAAATAGGAGCATATTTGGCTAATTTTCTCTAGCATAAGACATAAAAGTCAAAATTCCCTTAATGAAAACAATAATGACTTAACAGTGAGATGTTATTCTTCCTATATAGTGGGATTTAATAGTGTATTGGTAGCATATATTTGATTTGGAGTAGCTCCAATGGAAGATAAGATTAGAGAGAGTCATCTTAGATGGTTTGGTCTCATAAAACATCAGCCTTCCGTTGATCTTGGTAGGAGAGTAGATATATTAGATTTGACTTAAGTTAACAAAGGTAGAGGTAGACCTAAAAAGACTTTATTAGAAAATATTAGAAATGATCTTTCTTTATTAGATTTAAACGAGAATTTGACTCTTAATCAGACACGATGAACAAAAGGATTTCTGTAGCCGATCCCATGTAGTGGGATAAGACTTGATGTTGTTGTTGTAGTAGTAGTTTTACTGAATTGAATTATTGGGCATATTTCTATCAAAAAATAAATAGCGAGCATATTTGACTAATTTTAGCTTGAATGAGACAAAAAAGTCAAAATTCCCTTGAAGAGTAATGATTTAGATTTGTGTGAAAAATAAATATCACATTTTTAGGATCTTGAAGTTTGTAGATTTTAAAATGAATATTGATCTTGAAATACTTTAACCAAATGAGGGAAACTAATAAATTACCCTTTTCCAAAATATTTTTTCGACATTAAACAAACAAATAAACCGTTATAATAGACGAGCTTGTCTGCCGGTTTCACATTACGTTTTCTTGTTGCTTTGTTTCAGAATATCCTTCACTCGAATAAGCTTCAACTGTGCTACATTATTGAGTACGTCTCATTGTTCTTACTGTGCTGCATTATTACAATCTACTGAATTAACAGAACTCAATCTTCTTCCCTTGCTATATTTTCCTATTTTCACCAAGCTCCTGAATGCTTTTCATAACTGCTTAACTTGCCGTTGGATTTGAAGTATGAAGCTTGATGGTAGTATTTTTCTATGATCAAAAAAACAGTTTTATTGTAGTAATAATGGTCTCTAGCTGTTCCCTTTCTATGTTTGATTGAGATTTCCTAACATGACATTCCTCATATTATCTAATTTGGTTGTTCCAGGGTCCAAGAAAGAAGATACTTCGAGCATTGGAATCGAGGTCTTAGGAGGATGACATCGCTGTGTTGGGAACCTTTGGAGATGTGTAAATCATGCAAATCTTTATAGTATATGCATATTTTATTTTGCAGCGAGCGTAGTAAACCTCTGCTGATTGTTATTCATGTTCTCAATCAATGCCTGATCGGTTTGTTGTTACCTCCGACTTTGGAGGCCTTTATTTCTGTTTTTCATGCTGCTAATGTTCGATCTGCTAATTAAAGACACATCGAGGGCCTTAATTTTTCCATGGTTATTGACATATGTGATTAGAATGTCACCAAATATACATCAAAGTGGAAGCATTTTCATGGAAGTTATTTTTATTGCTGAAGTCGTATTGCCATACTCGGTAGTATTATTAATTTATAGTGCTGCAAGTGAATCAAACGTTCGATGAGTTACTCAATCGGTTCGATTAACTAAGCAAGTATACTTGAACAAAATTTTTAATACTCGATCTTTAAATAAACATGTTTGAACACTAATATGTTCGGTTCATTTATGTTCAAGAACAATATCATTTGAAGTCTGTGAACATGCTCATCATTAAGCTCGATAAGAAGCTTGATTCGTGTTCAATTCAGAACGCATGAATAAGCTCAATAAAAATTTGATTAATATTTAATTATAAAATTGATAAATATTATAATATACATATTTTAATTTATTATAATATAATGATATAATTATTTTAATTAATATATTTTAAAGTAATTATGTATAAGAATATTTATTATAGTTTTAATCTCTTTACCATTGCCAATTTAATATGTTTTATTATTAGATTTTGCTCATTTGATCAAGGTTGTGAAAACCGGACCGGGCAACGAACCGGTAGAGAGAGAGGTTCACGGTTCGATCGGTCGAACCGGTCGGACCGGGGTCGAATCGGATGACGTAATAAATACAATTTAGATGATATAAAAATCATATAATAATATAACTTTTTTATTAAAAAATAAACTGAATTTAAACATTATTAATATTTTATATAATTTTTAATTTAAACATATTCAATTTTAAAATTTAATTCAAATTTATTATAAAACTACTTTATAGATTTAATATAAAAACGTGCTTATTTATGATACATATTTAATTATATATGATTTATTCATATAAATTATATGCAAAATTTACATTATA